TGCACACGGTCGCCATCTAGCAACTGCAAATCGTTTGCTAGTCGAACACGGATGCATCAAGCTTTGGTTCCCGTTCGAACTCGGAAGTGACGGCATTGCTCCCCGTGCTCGTTCTGCAGGTGCAAATTGATTTGCTTGTCAACGACCTCAGGTGTCCTAGTAGTTCCAGTTTGTCTCTTTCGGCAATACTGGAAGGGTCGCAATAATTACAATGTTTTTCTCTGCAACACTGGAGCGGTTGTAGTAATCGCAGTTTCTCTCTCTCTCTCTCTCTGCAACACGGGAACGTGTGATTGCAATTCCCCTCTCTTTGCAATACTGGCGCAGTAGTGATTGCGGTTTCGTGCAGTTTGCAATACTGGAGCGGTCGTAGTAATTGCAGTTCCCCTCTCTCTGCAATACAGGTTCCAGCTTGCCCTTTGGCGGGTTTCTGACCATGTTCCAACTTTAGCCTCCGAGATTTAAGTTGGAACCTGTGACGTGGGGCCAATTTGCTCCTGTGGACACGTTCCAACTGTCCGGCTTCCATCACATATGTATAAACCATACATAGAAACATTGATTGACTTCTCACTTCTGAACTGCTTTGACAGATTCGCAGGTCGCTCGACCGCTGTACACACACAACCCTTCACCTCTCGCAGAATTCTGAAAGATCCCAAGTAAGCACGACGCTACACAGCACAAGCCGCCGCTGTCCTCCGTGGGCGTCAGTCACCATCTTGTCGAAGAGGATGCAGAGGGCTTTCGAACATGTAAGCGAGACGAAAGCAGATTGCGGTTTGGACGGTTTAAATGATCCTGTGGGTGGTCTTTACTTATGGGGCTGCGAACCGCGAGGAACCGCGAACCGAACCGCGGGCGAACCGAACCGCATGAAACACTCAATCGGTTCCAACCGGTTTGCGCTAACCTAACCGAACCGAATGGAACCGCGAGAACCCTGAGATAGTAGCCTAAAGAGTAGGACCCTTATTATGGACCCCTAAATAAGGCACCCCCTCATTTCGGAAACTCCCATATCGCTCTGGCCTGCAGTGGTTAGAGTTCGTGGTTTCGGACTCGGGGAAGCAATCCAGTACCGAGTGCTCTGCTGCTGTAGTGGCTTCTCTGGGCGATTTCCTGGCGACCGGAATTCGGCTGCACCGGGTTTCATTGTGATGGGCCAGGATAAACCCTACATACTCTGGTGTAAAGCTGTCAATCTATCTTGCGAGAAAAGAAAGGTCCGATAACAAGAAGGCGAAACTCCACAAGGGGCTAGGAATTCTGAGATAGGACCTGGCGGGCATTTTCACCTATTCTCTCAGAAGCTGTTGGGATCGGAAGTCCCGATAAGAATATCAAGCCCAACACCGAAACTTCATCACCAAACTTCAGAACTCCTGCAGACTCTTTACCTGGTTGCTGAGTTCAGTGGGCCCCACAGCAGCAACATGTTGGTTGAGGTAAGTGATACTGCGCTCATGACGGATGAAAGTACAAGAGCACCACTGCGCAACGCTTGACTTCATCCGGGGACAGCAACATGCATCATGCACAGAAGCATCTAGATTCTGGATGAGATCAGCGTGATCAACTCACCATCTATACATTACCATCGCATTGACAATCTGATGTTCAACCTATTCCTCATCCTTCCATATGCATATACAAGCACAAACAGGTACGTGTACAAAATACGTGCATGTTGTACGTACCTATAGTAGAAGGACAGATAGACGGGTAGATAGATAGATTGGTTGATTGATAGACAGGTAGTTAGACAGATCGATAAACAAATAGATAGATGTGTAAACTATGCTCACGCAGATGCTGGGCCTTTGGTGTTGGGCGGAGGCGTTCGGCGGCCATGTCGATATTCGAAGTCCCCCATGAAAAACCTGATAGTCGCTGTCTTCAGATGAGGGGCAGCAAATCCCTAAACATCCCTACCCTAAGGGTCCAAAGGACCCAATAATAAGGTACTTGGGTTTAGGATAGTAGTTATGTAGCTTTACACGTGGGAGAGTATATGATTATTATGTACTCGGACCCTTAGGGCTAAACCATCGCCATGCCCAGAAAAGAGGCCCAAACCCATCCGGAGCCCCAACGAAAAGGATCTGCAACATAACAGGCCCTAACTTCAAGTCATCCCCGAATCAACCCTAAATCCTGAACCCTGAACCCTAAACCAAAGCATCAAGAAGCCTTCAAGAGTCCCATCCCTGCCCAAACGGCCCGCTGGAAAGGGAGCATTGGCTGGAACAGCATACTTGAAGGCTCATGGGACTTAGTAAGTAAGGTTACAAGTAGGGTATAATTAGGATAACCCCACTTAGGGGACGTATAACCGAAATTTTAACCTGCTTACTAAGTCCCATGATCGTCTAAGTAGGGTCCCTCGCAAAATAAGATTAACAACAGGCCATGCAATTTTCGGATACGTGGAGTTTAGGGCTTTAGAGTGTATATGGTAGTATCGTCATCTAGGGACTACATGGGCATAGCACTGCTTCCTCACACCTCTCGCGCGCACGGAGCAGCAGATGTTGCGCGGTGCCATGCAGGGCACGTGGTTCACCACAGACCTCTATATTGCAACATGAGCAACCGGTCCTGGTTTTTTGCGGTGCAACGCCTGGACCGACTCTCCAAAGCAGGGTTTCAGTATGTTTCAGTCCAGGGTTTAGGGATTACCTTAACCCTAAGAAAATAAGGACTTATAAGGAAATCATAATAGGGAACCTTCAAAAGGAACGTTTTATAGGGTCCTGGTAGGGTTTAGGGAAGCTTCTTGGTAGCAGCCCTCGCATTTCATCATGGCGACATCGACAGGCAGGTTGGCGACTAGGCTGCGCACCAGTCGCGCCCGCTGCCATTGGATGAGTAGGTGCCTCCAACTTGCAAAATACAAAAGCCCAAAGGGTCCAAGTATCATTATGGTATATACTTATAGGGAATTTTATGGGGTCTAAGTATATACTATAATGATACTTGGACCCTTTGGGAAGGCACGCAAATCTGCCCACGAACACTCTGCCACTAGAATCCGAAGGCCTGGCCTGACTAGGGCCCAAGAGCCCTAATCAGAAAACTTTAAAGTTTAATACAAAATAAATGCTTCAGTTGGCCCATAGTCTGTGGTCGAACAAATCTTATAGCTTTGAACCAAGTAGTTTCAGAGCACGTCCATGCGGACCGTGTGAGCAGTTCGCAGACTTCGACATACCATATGTACCATTGTTACTGTTTAAATGCTGCTTTTTGGGGGATGATCGCCGCAAAGCAGCCGGAGGATGGGCGTCAACGAAGATCTACGCCGGAGAGTTTCCTCATGTCTAAATGCGATCTCAACGGGAAGTCTGAATGAGGGCTTGGTGGTGATGAAGCTCCGGGAAGCGCGTCTGGATCCGTGTTTTGTGGTTCGCGATTCCGAGTTCGATGTACCTTCCCCCACCCATCTGTCAAAGTGGAAAATGAGGGACCCTTAATGGGGACCCCTTAACCTATAATGGGCCATATAATGGCTATATAATAGCTATATTAAGGGTATATACCTGGGGGTCCTTGTTAAGGGTCCCTCTTTTTACCCTTGGAATCTACCAAAAACACAAAACCTTTCAAGCCCGAAGTCGGAAATCCCCTCGAAGCAATTCGACCCGGAAAGCCCTATAGTAGAAGCCAGAAAGTTGGAACATCATTATCCTTTCCTTATGCCCTTTAAGAAAAGTCTAGGGAATCCTAGCACTAATCATCCGTAACCCATGTTCCCACTTTCTGGAGTTCACTATACATCCCAAACACCACAGTGCACACGGGCCGCTGCGCACGCGCCCTTTTCCTGCACACGGCCTCAAATCAAACGCCAAAGTCCCAGACAGTGGCCGGCCGGTTTGGAGTAGGGACACAACTACTTGTCGGGTATCATGGGGAACTAAAGGTTAACCTTTTTGGTTATGTAGGGATTATATAGGGACTATACTGCCCAAGAAAGGTTAAAGGTTGCCTACCCTACTACATAGCACATTCGTAGTTCGGGGGTTCAAGCAATGTAGGTAAAATGCGGTTGCAAAAGTGTCAGCATCATCCCTAAATTAAGGGGGCTCTTGAAGAGCATACTTCTGGGTTACCTAAATCCCAAACTCTGAGACCCTAACCCCTGACGCCTCAACCCTAAACCCTACCTGGGGATCCAAAAACCTATATACCGTTTTAAGGGTCCGACCCTCTAATTAACGGGTCATCACCTACTATTCTGCAGGGTTTGGGGTCACAGGCAAACCCTTCTTCAAGCACAGCGTGCTTCGCACGGATTCGCGGATTTCCCCGGAGACGTCGACTCGCGGATGATGTCAATGTGTGCTGCCTTGACTTTTTGTAGGTTTAGGGTTCCGTTTCTTTTTTGAGCTCCTTTTCTCCAGTGCCCCGAAAGGTCTGAGAGGCCAGGACGGCCAGGAAGGGTTCCGGTTTAGGGACCCAGGTCTCGGTTGTAAGTTCGTTTTGCTGGTTTAACCGTTTTATGCGTAGGATCCTGTACTGAAGAACCCAAATGGAGCCTACAGGTAGAACTAGAGATTGAGTTCATCACCGTGCTTCTGCTACAGATGCCTGATGCCCCCTGCATGGTTCCAAAGCGCGATCGCCGCGGAAGCAGCGATCAAAGCGCATTTTGTTCACTGACATCACAAGGCAAAACCAGCTGAACGCCGTAATTGCAGAACACCCCCATCCCCAATCACAACCCTAAACCCTAAACCCTAAACCCCTAAACCCTAAACCCCTAAACCCTAAACCCTAGTTTTGCCCACCATGCTGCAGCCGAGCTTCCAGCCCACCTCGCCACAGAGTCAGAGTGCCAGTTGCGGATCGCAGTTTCTTCGCCAGCCAAGCTCCTGAAATGACCCTTAAAAGTAAGGGCCCTATACCCATATACTATGAATCCCTATATGGTATATGAACCTTAAACCCTTTTAGGCATTCATTTCGTCCTGAAGGCTCGTACACATTGCCGAAGCTCATCTCTCACAGGCCAGCGCCGCAAGGGAAGGTGCCTGAAATCCGGGATTCGAGTCGCAGGGCTTACACTGGAGGCCTGATCAACTAGGCTAGAGATACCCTGAACAGCCTCGAGAGAACCTTCACCGTTACATCTTAATCAGAACTCCGCCAGACATACTTCGAAACCTCATACCGGGAGCTAGAAACAAGTTTCCTTTCAGGCTCCTTTCAGGCTTGTATACGAATTCCTCAAAGGGTTCCTGAACGAGTTCTATAAGGGCCTCTACACTAAATTGACTAGATCCCCACGGCCCTCAGCAGGTTGAAGTATCATCGGAATGGTCGCGGCAATCATGCTCATCATCTTCATCACCATGTTCCTGCCCTTAGTCATCACCAGCAGCAATGTCATCCATACCATGGCGATAACAAGGATCATGCTTCTTCACAAAGTAAGTGTCGTAAGTCCTACACCCGATGCCCGTTCCAGGAACTTCCCTCGATGTGACACTCAGGAATTGTAACATTCTCGCAGCTTCGCGGCCACTGCGAGCACATCGACGCGGCAGCGCTTGCCACTGCAGCGAGTCCTTCTTTGTCCAACGGTGTCGGAGCTCTTGTCTAAGGATTTCGGACAATTGGATCTAAGCTTATCAGAGTGTGTGTACGTACATAAGTATATGTCAAAAATTAAGTCAAACACAGATAAACAAATACATGAATGCCTATAGCTAACGATCCTCAACTGAGGCCTATCACCAACTAGTTCTTCCCGTGTAGACGACTACATACATGTTAGGGTCCTGTAAAACAGAGAAACAAGTTATCCCTAAACAGCTGCAGGAGAGAATGCGTAGTACCTGTAGATGCTTCAACTCCAAATCCGCGAACCCTGAAACTCAAACCCAAACACTTGCAACCCAAATCTCAAACGCCCTAAACCCTTGAAAACTTTAGGGCTCAGGGATTTTAGGGGTTTGGGGTCTATGCCCAGGTGCATCATAAGGCCCCTATATTCCAGAAGACCACTAATTATAGATCCCGTATGGACCCCTTTCAGGATCCAAACCCTAAACCCTCAAGCCCTAAACCCTAAACCCTGAACCATCCCACTAAGGGCACCCGATGTTAATGATTTCTACAATGGATCCCTTCTAGATCCCTTTAAAGATCCCAACCCTATAAACCCTAAACGCATCCCTTTACATAATAAGAAACATTCAGGGTTAAGGTAAACCCTAAACCCTAAACCCCTAAACCCTTAAACCACGAACCCTCAAACCCTACCCCCCTAAACCCTAAACCCCTAAACCCTAAACCCATCCCTTTAAGGGAACCCGAGGCGCATCATCGTGAGCCCAAAGCGCAGTGAAGGCATCTGCTCGGCGCGAACGCGGAGGATGCCCAGGCCCGACTGGGAAGGCGATCCTATAAGGGAACCCCTTAGGGATCTATATATATATATATATATGTACTATATTGGGGTCCCCTATTTTCGGAAACTCCCATATAAGGGTTCTTTCAAAAGCGTCCTATAAGGGCACTTTAAGGTTGGGAGGGCTTCCTTAACGAGAGCGGTTTAGGCTTTACGGTTTAGGGGGAACCTTAGAGGGATCCATAAGGGTTCCTTCAACAAGCGTCCTAAACCCTCAAGCAGATGGGTCCTGCAATTAGGGTTTGGAAGCTCGCCGTTATTGTGCTGTGGTCGCTTATATGAGGCTTTGTATTCGTTTACGAGTTCTGACAGACCGGACATCTGTGGGCTTAGGTTGGTCTTAAGGTTCAGGGTTTGTAAATTCGCAGGGCGGTATGGGGTGCTGTTATTATAAGGGGCCTTTCTTGTGGCTTGGGAAACGTGGAGGTTTGGATGATGGGCTGTGACATTTTAGGCGCATTCCGGCTTCGCGGTGTTGCGAGATCGGAATGGAAGCCCTAAACCCTAAACCCCTAAGCCCTAAACCCCTAGACCCTATAAACCCTAAACCCCTAAGCCCTAAAGCCCTAAACCCCTAAACCCTAAAACCCTGAACCCCTATAAACCCTAAACCCTAAACCCTATAAGCCCTATAAACCCCAAAACCCTAAACCCCTAAACCCTATAAACCCTATAAACCCCCCAAACCCTAAACCCCTAAACCCTATAAACCCTATAAACCCCCAAACCCTAAACCCCTAAACCCTATAAACCCTATAAACCCTATAAACCCTATAAACCCTATAAACCCTAAACCCCTAGGCCCTAGACCCTATAAACCCTAAACCCTAAACCCCTAAGCCCTAAAGCCCTAAACCCCTAAACCCCTAAACCCTAAAACCCTGAACCCCTATAAACCCTAAACCCTAAACCCTAAACCCTATAAGCCCTAAACCCTAAACCCCTAAACCCTAAACAGCTTTTATTCGATGCCGGCCCCCGCTCCCAAGGTCGGTTGACGATGGCCCCCTCAAAAGCGCGATTAAGAAACCTTGGGCCTTTATTACCCTACATACTTTGGGGTCTAAAGTCTATAAATACTACCTACTTTGGGCTATTTGGAGTCTTAGGGTTAGGGTTCCTTATAATTGGGGTCTATAAGAATTACTATAAGGGATCTATAAGGGTACCATAATGATAATGTAGGAACCTGATTAAGAAACCTTGGGCCTTTATTAGGGTTCCTTATAAAGGGGTCTATAAGAATTACTATAAGGGATCTATAAGGGTACCATAATGATAATAGGAACCTACTATTTTGGGGTTTCAGGGCCAGGGTTTCTAAATCGATGCGACCACCCTTGTCAGCCAACCTCAACCGCAAACGCCAAATCCCACGAGCAAATTGCCATCCCTACTTAGCACCGAGGATCTAAACTCTCTAAACCAAGCCCTAAACCCTCAGCCCTAAAACCGAAACTCCACGCCCCGAGCTCCCTATACCCTATACCACCGTGAATAACATACCTTGCTAGGGTTCCTTATTATGAGTTCCTTGTCTAAGTCCTTTAAAAACGTAGGTTATTCAGGGTTAAGGTAAGCCCTCAACCCCGAGACCTAAAAATTGGCTGCAGCTCTGCAACCTCATTGAAGGAGATCAGCGACCATTGAAGGAGGCCAGAGCCTGAATGCTGAGCTTATAGGGGCGATGCGTGCAAGAGTCAGGGTTTATTATGTCGGGTTTGGGGTTTGGAGATTCCAGTTTGGTTTAATTAAACCCCAAACCCCAAAAACCCTAAACCAAGTTAGGGTATGCGCAATTTTGGGGCTTTGGGTTTACGGTCTAGGCTTGCCGCATTTTGGGGTTTCAGGCTTCTTGCAGCGTGGGAATAGAAGCTGTCAGGGCCGCCTTACTTTGAACGACATAAAGAAGCAAATTGCAAGATTGGCTGAAGCAGGTTTCCTCTTCATGGATTCTTGCAGGGGTCTTGCCTCGTAGGAGGTTTGGATCTAGCCAATCCTGGTATGCTCGTTCTACTTTCGGGGTCCCCTTTATCAGGCTCAACGTTCCAAGGCTTGTTGCTGTTGGCCTTCACCGGAACACAAATTCGAAGCATGAACCCCAGCTGTCTGTGCTCATTGCGCTTACACGGTATCGCTTTCCGGCGATCCTAGGCATGGTTGGCAAAATCATCGACACAACTCTCAGGTCGGGGCTTGGGTCTCAGGTTTAGGGCTTGGGGCCATGAGTCTTGGATACCGGCGACCTCTTCAAGGTAGGCACTACCAGCACCTCTGCAGTCTGTGGACGGCTGCGGTATACAGCATTTACGGTGTAGGATTTCGGGTTTAGGAAAGCCCCTACCCTACTAAACTTGATTGCAGGTGAGAGGCCCATACTTCCAAAGGAGGTCGAGAGTGCCTGCATGGCAACTTCACAACCTCTCTTATAAGCATAACTACCCATGAACATTCAAGCTACCAAGGGTTGGCTGTCCGGGGGGTGGGAACACCGTGTCCAGCAAGGCACATGGGACAAGAAAACCGAAACCCTAAAGACAAATCACTGATCCCGTTCAGCTTGCAGGGTCCTGATTTGTTTAAAATGGCCGGAGGGCATGGAAACCGTGCAACATAGGGGGTTTCCGAAAATGGGGGACCCTAGTAGATTACCCGAAATAGTATATCCTTATAATATGGACCCTAAAATAAGGTTCCCCTAATTTTCGGAAACTCCCATATACACCCTCGGGGCTATCTTGAGCCTTAGGCCTTTGCAATGTCTACAACCTTTTGGGACCAGAATTCCGGGTTGTGGGATTGAATGCCCTAAACGCATCACCGACTAAACGCCCAGCCTCGACGGGGAACAATCAACCACGACACGCATCTCCGAGAAAAAACTTCAGGCAACAGGCGTGCTTAACCAGTGGCCTGCATTACTGGAGCATCCTTGGTGCGTAGTTTCAGAGACATCCAGAGAACCTGGAACAGAAACAAGCCCCTTCGCTGTAGATGCCCGCGCATTTGCGGACATCGTGTGCAGGCCGTGATTGTAGCCCCAAGCCATACGAAACAGGTAGGTCCGGAACCCATAATTCTAAACGGCGGTAACTCTCTAATTGGGGGGTGTAAAGTTTAGAGTTCAAGGTTTTCCGACTTAGTTTATCAACCCATAGTTCGAGGGGTATAGCTCTCACAGGCGTAAGCTGTGGGATCTCCTTGTAGCAGATGGCAGTGCCAGCAAGCGAATAGCCACGGGGTATGGCCCCCACTCAGTAATAGTTGAATAAATGTTCATAATGTAGATATTTTCGGGCCTTAATCGTCGCCCCATTACAGACTCTTGCTGTATGGGGGCAGTACCTAACTTAGCCACATCAATCAACACCGGAAGCCCAACAAAGCACACAGACATGCCTCAGGGGGGAGGGTTTGGGATTGCAGGATTTGGGATTCTGGGGCTTAGGGTTAAAGTCAGAGAGGTCTAGGAATGTAGAATCCAGGAATTGGGGCTCTGATGGGAATTGAACTTTAGGGTAGGGTTTTAAGATTGCAGGGCTCAGGGTTCATGTTGAGCCGAGATGAGGGTTGAAAGATCACAGTTTAGGGTGCAGCTCTGTTGGTTTGGGGTGTCTCTGCAGGCTTGCACCTCGGACTCAGGAAGACCATATCACCCTTTTCACGAATTTTCGAGGGCACTGCGTGGCTAGGAAGCTTTTGCGATCTCTCGCAACCAATCAGCATCTTCACTCATCGGCTCAATCTCCAAAGTCCGAAAGTTGTTCAGGGTTTAGGGTTTAGGCGGTTGAGGGCTTTGGAAAGTCTTTACGCCCCCAGACCGGCCTCATTCACGGCGACTTGAAACATCGGCGCAGTCGTTGGGTCCGCCGGCGGCGAGCCCTCATGATCCCAAGTTACCAGGACCCTCCTTGTACCCTCAAATAGGGGTATCTGGTCCCAAAGAAGGGGCATTTAGGGTCTAATAAAGGGTAGATGGAGGGTCTAGGTAGATATTCTTGCGACACTTAAGTATGGACTTCTCTACTTTTGTGCTTATGCTTCAAGATGCTCTTGCGGCTTCTGAATTCCTTGGGTGCTTGACCTAAGGCCTGAGAGCCCCGGAACGGCTGTGAGCTTTGCGTTGTCCGATGGCCCTGAAGCTCTGCATCCGTTCCAGGTGTCGTCCTGGGCTCAGCCAAGGAGCAAAGACCAGCTGGAAGCGCAAGAAGCACCTGCCAGAACGGAACCGACCGAATCAGAGAAATGTAATGTAATATAGGGGCCTTAATAGAATAGGGTTTTCGGGCCTATTATCCTAAAGTTATAATATTAATAATATTATAATAATAATAATTATTATTATTAGGAGCCCCTCAAAATAGCAAAGGTTTTTATTAAGTTAAGGCCCCTTTCGTAGGGTGGGCAACACAGGAGCCGGGGTTCGGCCCTTAGTTCTATCAGCGGAGGGATCGCAATGGAACATTGCTGTGTATTCATGGGTGGCTGCCAAAATTAGGGTCCCTTTTTGGGGTCCTCGTTATAGTACGGCACCTATAGTATTTAGGGTACCCAAAAAGGGACCCTCATTTTTGACAACCATTCACATACGTACTGAGCGGCGTAAGACTCGTCAATGTTGGTGCCGAAAACATGGGTGGACGTGTCTTCTAAGGCCAAACCGGATGCCAAATCAGTGCATGCTACGGTCTCGACCCAAACCCTCAACACAAAACCGCCTGACTAAGCTCCTAAACCAAGGCCTGCAAGAAAGATTCAACAATGGTTCTTGTAAATGATACCTACAAGGGGTTTCGGGCTGAGGGAACCATACCTATAGTCTCCATTGTAGTGTAGTTCCTTGCAACCAAAAACTATACTATGGGATCCTAACCATGAAACTGACTGGTTAACCACAATGGAGACGATAGGTACATCCCAAGCCACCACATCTCTGCCCTTCAAGGCCTGGATCCCCCCAACCCTGATGCCAGAAATCCTCATACAAACCCTTCCTGCCACCTTTGTAATTATGTAGCTACCCGTAAATCCTTAGTATTTACAGTATATCTAAAGCTTAATACAATATAGGCTTTGTAGCAATCGCTACAGTAACCGCCGTCTTAGGCGGGAAACTAGCGCAAAATGCTCTTTGGTGCGCCAGCCTGGAGGGTCGGAATTGCTGGCAGACCACTTTCCTTGGGTTCGCGGGCTTAGTGTTTAGGATTAAGTTTATATGGGACGGACTGGATAGAAAGGGCTTTCTCTGGATGTGAGAGGAGGGCTTTCTCTGGATGTCAGAGGCTGGAGTATAGGGACCTTCATGATTAGTTGTTGGGATCCATAGTGCGTTCTGGGAGGAAAACGCTATACGGAGACCTGAGATATGATATGTGTGTCAAGTATGCAGGCTTGTGTTGCAGATTCGAGGGTTTTGCAATCTACATGCTGTTGCAAAATATCACAACTCCTTCTTCAATTTGGGTTTGGGTTTAGGGTTTATACAGGGTTACCTGTAGCCACCAACCAGTACAAACTAGTGTGTCACGAACCCATCCTGATAGGGGTATAACCTTTAAAGCAGTAGGTGATTGAATCCGCAGTTACAATGACTGCAGGCAAAGCTTGAAGCGCCAGACTTTCGCAACACATGTAATATGAGGCCTTGAAAACCATATTAGTGTTGTAGCGTGTTTCTTGTATAGGCGTTGTAAAGGAGTTGTATCAAGAACAGCTCGGAACCCCATAATAGGTCGCGATCAGCCAGAGCTCATCAGCCGAAAACAGCTCTCGTCTCGACCGAAGAGAAGCCTAGAGCACTACACTGAAAGTTTTAACGACCAGAAAACCAAAAAATCATCAACCGTTTGCATTCGTCCTCACCCGGAAACCCTGAACCCAAACCCGACCCCTCAAAAAGAAACGGTATCCTTTCACATTCATTGGGTTTACGGATTAGGGTAAGGAAGAGTGACCACCACTAATGTTATACCTCTCAGCAGCATGTGTCTTGGATAAGATTCTCTTTCCGCGTGGGGCGCTCCACGGGGGTATCGGCGGGCGTCTCAGTCTCCGCTGCCATTGCCGTTGACAGAGCCGAATCAAGAAGTGCCGATGTAAGTGGGTTCGGGCTCAGGGTGTGCAGGGGCAGTAACTACCCATCAACATGATACTGTCGTTTGGGCATTTGGGGGTCCAGGATACAGGGTTCAACCCAGTAAGACCAGAGGGAAGGAGGTAGAAGCCCTCCACAAAACCGTATGAGACCATCCTAAAAACATGAGCCCATAGGTTACCCGGTTTTTAAGACCTTCTGCCGCCAAGAGAAACATGCCGACTTGTGGTGCAAATGAAAATTCCAGTCCAGCTTGCTCGGAGCAAGGGTTTTTAGCATTTATGGCTTTTTCGAAGGGTTTTAAGGCTTTGGTTTGAGGGCTCAGGGTTCAGGAGGGTGTCGGATCGCGGCAAGCCGCATATTCTCAGAGCCAAGCTGGTGTGATGTGACGATTGACTTGTCGAAAGAGAAAGCTCGACAAACTCCCGGAGTGGTTATGCAGGGGGAGTGGTGGTGGCGATGGTGCTGGTGCTGTTGGCGGTGGCGGTGTTGTCGTTGCTTTGCTGCACCAAAGGAGTCGGACAGTCCGTCGCGTTTGGCTTTCTGGCTGAGGGCCTGAAGGTGTTGGGGCTTCACGCAAGCACAGAAACAAGCATTCAATACCGGCCAAGCCTGTGATCCTCTTGAGTCCATAAGCCATCGCGGAAACGAGCAGGCTAAACCTACTCCGAGTAAGTCGGATAAGATGTTTGCAAACTGCAAGCTGTGCATCCGGACCATGCTGACTACCCTCAGAGACTCTAGGAAGACTTCTCGATTATGAAGGCAACTCCCAGATATCGAATGCTTAAGCATGGGACCCGCTACGGCCACATGAAACGGCCATGTTCTCGAATCCTGGGCTCAAATGCACCAGATCTTCGCTATGGCAAGAGTGCCTTGGTGGTTCGTGCTTACTCCAACGAAGGAATTTCGACTATGTGGGTTAAGAGTTTGTTGAATAGCCAGTTGCCATATTCGTCGCTGCATTCCTCACGCAACCTCCTTGATCCTATTATCATCCGACTTGAAGCGGCCCCCTTTGATTTCTTGAGCTGAGATGCCCGCAGCCCACAAGGCAGCAGTTTGCGACTGTAGTCATGGCCATCGGGGGGGTTCAAGCTTTCAGGGTTTGCATGGAAAGGCTTTGAGTCAGGTTACGTTCCGAGTGCCATAGAACCCGGAAGCCTGCACCATTCCCCAAGGCTTGGCCCTCCTGCACCAAAGCCGTCGAGCAAATAATGTAGGGGGGCCTTAACAATTAGAATAGGGTTTTGGGGCCCATTATTAATTATACTATAGTAATACATGAAAATTAGGAACCCCCAAAATATAATCGGTAACTACTTAGGCCCCTATGGTAGACATGCTACTACATGTGCATCTTTCTGCTCGCCTCTGAAACGGACCTCTTCGTAGTTGCCGGCCCTATACACTACACTTTAGACACCGTGAAAACTACATGGAATCCTCAACCTACGAAAACCGACCTCCACTCTAAACCCCCCCCCAAAAACATAAACCCTAAACCCTAAACCCCTAAACCCCAACCCTCAAACCCTAAACCCTCAAACCATAAACCCCCAAATCCTAAAGCCCTATAAACCCTAAACCCCAAAAGATCCCCCGAATCTCGAAAAACCCTAAGAAGTGGTAGGCTTCCCCACCCCTCCACAACCCAAGACTGGCAGGTGAGAGTACTACAGATGCCTGAATGATTATTGCTCGTATGGTTTAGAGTTTCTCGGCATAGTTACGGTATACTGTGCCAAAACACTACTCCAATTATCAGGGCTGCTGTAGCATATTCCGTTTGGGGTTGATAAAGCTTTACGAAAGGTTTAGGCTTGAGGGTAGGTTCAGGAGTGTCAATACTTAGACACTGGGTTCAGGAAAGTTACATTGCCTTCAGTACATGATTCAGTAGTGGCCTACGGTTTCAGGGTACTTCATTATGCAATACGTATACTAGATTCAGCCCCTGGCGGCCATTTTCGTTAAACGGAGGAAAGCAAAACAGACGAGCCTGTTCTCTTGTGTGATCCATGTCCTCCGCAGGAAATCTACTGCTACTGCGCCGACTGTTTACTTTCATACTTTGACAGCGAATTAAAGAAAGTGACATCGACTTCTGGGAGTCTCTGGGTGCCTCTCGTGGCCTCAATGCGTAGGCCAATCATGGATGACAACAGGAAGAACATCTGCGAGTGCCTCTCAGGCCAAAGCGGGGTCGAAATTACAAGCTGCAAAGATGTCGGCAGCACCGCCTGGCCTTGGCGCCCTCGACCCCGATCTTGTTGCCTGTGAGATTAATGTAGATCACGGTGCAGTTGGAGTTCAGGGCATCTGCAAGTGCCTTTCAGACGGGAAAAGCGGGGTCGAAATTACTGGCTGCAAAGACCCCCGTGGCCACCACCTGGCCTTGGCGCCCTCGTCTCCGATTGCTTGGTTGCTGAGGTTGATGTGGGTGACAGTACGGTTGGACTTCAGGGCATCTGCGAGTGCCTTTCAGAGGGGAAAAGCGGGGTCGAAACTGCACGCTGCAAAGAGCAACGCCTGGCCTTGGCGCCCTCGTCTCCGATACTGTTGGATGTGAGGTTGATGCAGGTGACGGTACGGTTGGACTTCAGAGCATCTGCGAGTGCCTCTCAAGGAAAGAGCGGGGTGGAAATTTGCAAGCTGCAAGCTGCAAGGACGTGGGCACCTGCCTGGCCTTGATGCCCTCCTCTCCGATCCTGTTGCGTTCGAGGTCGATGTCGGTGATGGTTCGGTTGTACTTCAGGGCATCTGCGAGTGCCTCTCAGAGGGGAAATGCCAGGTCGAATTTGCAAGCTGCGAAGAAACCGGGACCACCGCCTGGCCTTGGCGCCCTTGTCTCCGATATTGTTGTAGTCGAGGTTGATGTAGGTGACAGCATGGTTGGACGTCAAGGCATCTGCGAGTGCCTCTCTCAGGAAAAAACCGAGGTCGAAATTGCAAGCTGCAAACACCCCTTTGGCATTGCCGGGCCTTGGTGCCCTCGTCTCCGATTATTCTGTTGTATTGGAGGCTGATGTGGGTGACAGTGCGGTTGGACTTCAGGGCATGCGCGAGTGCCTCTCAGGGAAGAGCGGGGGGCTTGAGATTATCGAAGTTGCTGTAGATGACTGTAAATGTCTACATCCGAAAATCTTCAGAACATGGGAACGCCGACGAGAGCCTGGCAGAGACAACTCGATTTGGGTGAATATGCGGCTGATCGCCAACTGCGAGCATGCGTGTCCGCTGCGCCTGGCAGCCCTCCACTGTGATGTTTTTGTCTGGGAGGTTTAGGCGGGTGGTGCCGCTGTTGGTCGTCAGCAGCTTCGCGAGAGCCTGGCGCGGGAAGTACTGCGCATCCAAGCACGTCGGTCTCGTTCCGAAGAACCACACAGCAGTCCTCGATGCGCACTTTTCCCGTCCAAGCCTCGGCTTGGCTCTCCCAAGTCGTGTTGTTGAGCAGACTCGGGAAGGCTCATTTGTGGCTCCGGCGGTGCAGTCCTGCCACCCTCCTCCCCCCTCTGATGTGTAACGGGTCTTTGTTGCTGCTTTTTGTGGGGAAGGCCAACCTGCCCCTGTATTCTAGCCATCTTTGGGGCAGGGAGCAGAATACTCTCGCAGCGATGGCCGTCAGTGTGTAACCACATCGTGACTTTATCGCTGGCACCCTACAAAAGCCACGAACACAGATTGGGTCACTGTCACTACTTCCCTCAAACGTCAGCTGTACAGCATAGGCAAAACGGCACGCAGGCCCCGCCAGAACCTGCATAGGCATGGCCACCCCCCCAGACTGCTGTGCCCTCCACGCTCTCCGCCTCTGGTGAACTTGTAGGAAACCGCTACCCGCGTGGGGCGAGTGGGCGTGGCAGCAGTTTCAGCAAGAGCTTGCTGTCGCCAGAGTTCTGGAGCTGCTGAAGATCCGTAGGGTAAAAAGCCCGGGTGTGCGATGCACATAACAAAACGATGTGTAGAGTAGGACAGCTGCGATGGTTTGCTAGGGCCCCGACCTGGGACTTCGTTGCATCTGCAGAGCCCTTCGCCGCTTCTTCGATATCCTGCCAGCAGCTTTCAGATCGAGCCACGCGCTCGCCGAAGCTTTGGGTGCCCCACGGCCCGAGGAACCTTGTTATCGCTGACTCGATTCGATTCCATGCGTGTCAGGGGATGGAAACTGCAAGCAGGAGAGACCCCGTGAGAACCGCCTGGCCTTGGCGCCTGCGTCTGTGTGGGTGACGGTACGGTTGGACTTCAGGGCATCTGCGAGTGCCTCTGGTGGGGAAAGCGGGAGCGAAATTGCAGGCTGCAAACGCCACGGGGGCCCATTATTAATTATACTATAGTAATACATGAAAATTAGGAACCCCCAAAATATAATCGGTAACTACTTAGGCCCCTATGGTAGACATGCTACTACATGTGCATCTTTCTGCTCGCCTCTGAAACGGACCTCTTCGTAGTTGCCGGCCCTATACACTACACTTCAGACACCGTGAAAACTACATGGAATCCTCAACCTACGAAAACCGACCTCCACTCTAAACCCCCCCCCAAAAACATAAACCCTAAACCCTAAACCCCTAAACCCCAACCCTCAAACCCTAAACCCTCAAACCATAAACCCCCAAATCCTAAAGCCCTATAAACCCTAAACCCCAAAAGATCCCCCGAATCTCGAAAAACCCTAAGAAGTGGTAGGCTTCCCCACCCCTCCACAACCCAAGACTGGCAGGTGAGAGTACTACAGATGCCTGAATGATTATTGCTCGTATGGTTTAGAGTTTCTCGGCATAGTTACGGTATACTGTGCCAAAACACTACTCCAATTATCAGGGCTGCTGTAGCATATTCCGTTTGGGGTTGATAAAGCTTTACGAAAGGTTTAGGCTTGAGGGTAGGTTCAGGAGTGTCAATACTTAGACACTGGGTTCAGGAAAGTTACATTGCCTTCAGTACATGATTCAGTAGTGGCCTACGGTTTCAGGGTACTTCATTATGCAATACGTATACTAGATTCAGCCCCTGGCGGCCATTTTCGTTAAACGGAGGAAAGCAAAACAGACGAGCCTGTTCTCTTGTGTGATCCATGTCCTCCGCAGGAAATCTACTGCTACTGCGCCGACTGTTTACTTTCATACTTTGACAGCGAATTAAAGAAAGTGACATCGACTTCTGGGAGTCTCTGGGTGCCTCTCGTGGCCTCAATGCGTAGGCCAATCATGGATGACAACAGGAAGAACATCTGCGAGTGCCTCTCAGGCCAAAGCGGGGTCGAAATTACAAGCTGCAAAGATGTCGGCAGCACCGCCTGGCCTTGGCGCCCTCGACCCCGATCTTGTTGCCTGTGAGATTAATGTAGATCACGGTGCAGTTGGAGTTCAGGGCATCTGCAAGTGCCTTTCAGACGGGAAAAGCGGGGTCGAAATTACTGGCTGCAAAGACCCCCGTGGCCACCACCTGGCCTTGGCGCCCTCGTCTCCGATTGCTTGGTTGCTGAGGTTGATGTGGGTGACAGTACGGTTGGACTTCAGGGCATCTGCGAGTGCCTTTCAGAGGGGAAAAGCGGGGTCGAAACTGCACGCTGCAAAGAGCAACGCCTGGCCTTGGCGCCCTCGTCTCCGATACTGTTGGATGTGAGGTTGATGCAGGTGACGGTACGGTTGGACTTCAGAGCATCTGCGAGTGCCTCTCAAGGAAAGAGCGGGGTCGAAATTTGCAAGCTGCAAGCTGCAAGGACGTGGGCACCTGCCTGGCCTTGATGCCCTCCTCTCCGATCCTGTTGCGTTCGAGGTCGATGTCGGTGATGGTTCGGTTGTACTTCAGGGCATCTGCGAGTGCCTCTCAGAGGGGAAATGCCAGGTCGAATTTGCAAGCTGCGAAGAAACCGGGACCACCGCCTGGCCTTGGCGCCCTTGTCTCCGATATTGTTGTAGTCGAGGTTGATGTAGGTGACAGCATGGTTGGACGTCAAGGCATCTGCGAGTGCCTCTCTCAGGAAAAAACCGAGGTCGAAATTGCAAGCTGCAAACACCCCTTTGGCATTGCCGGGCCTTGGTGCCCTCGTCTCCGATTATTCATGTTGTCTTGGAGGTTGATGGAGGTGACAGTACGGTTGGACTTCAGGGCATCTGCGAGTGCCTCTCAAGGAAAGAGCGGGGTCGAAATTTGCAAGCTGCAAGCTGCAAGGACATGGGCACCTGCCTGGCCTTGATGCCCTCCTCTCCGATGCTGTTGCGTTCGAGGTCGATTTCGGTGATGGTTCGGTTGGACTTCAGGGCATCTGCGAGTGCCTCTCAGAGGGGAAAAGCCAAGTCGAATTTGCAAGCTGCGAAGAAACCGGGAGCACCGCCTGGCCTTGGCGCCCTTGTCTCCGATATCGTTATTGCGGAGGTTGATGCGGGTGACAGTACGGTTGGACTTCAGGACATCGGCAAGTGCCTTGCAGGCAAAAGTGCGGTCGAACTTGCAAGCTGCAGAAACCCCGAAAGCACCGCCTGGCCTCAGCGTTCTCGTCTCCGATGATGTTGGTTGCGAGGTTAATGTAGGTGACGGTACGGTTGGACTTCAGGGCATCTGCGAGTGCCTCTCAAGGAAAGAGCGGGGTCGAAATTGCAAGCTGCAAAGACCTCGTGGGCATCACGTGGCCTTGACCCCCAGGGCCCCGATGCTGTTGAGATTGAGCTCGATGTGTGTGACAGTATGATTGGACTTCAGTGCATCTGCAAGTGCCTCTCAAGGAAAAAAGGGGTCAAAACTTGCAAGCTGCAAGCTGCCAAGGGCCCTGGCCTTGGCGCCCTCGTCTCCGATTCTGTTGCCTCCGAGGTAGATGTGCGTGACAGTACGGTTGGACTTCAGCACATCTGCAAGCACCTTTCAGAAAACGAGTGGTCGAAATTGCAAGCTGCCAAAACCCCATGGGCACCACCTGGCCTTGGCGCCATCTTCTCGGATCTTGTTGCCTTCGAGGCTGATGTCGGTGACAGTACTGTTGGACTTCAGAGCATGTGCGAGCGCCTCTCAGCGAGAAACGCGGGTCGAAATTGCAAGCTGCAAAGATATCGGCAGCACCGCCTGGCCTTGGCGCCCTCGTCTCCGATATCGTTATTGCCGAGGTTGATGCGGGTGACAGTACGGTTGGACTTCAGGACATCTGCAAGTGCCTTGCAGGCAAAAGTGCGGTCGAACTTGCAAGCTGCAAAGATCCCCGTGGCCACCACCTGGCCTTGGCGCCCTCGTCTCCGATTGCTTGGCTTTTGAGGTTGATGTGGGTGACAGTACGGTTTGACTTCAGTGCATCTGCGAGTGCCTCTCAGCGGGAAACACGGCCGGTGTCAAAGCTACCGCGTCTCAGGCACGCGAAAGCTCGTGCCTTCCACAGTGCCGAATACCGATCCGAACCGTACTTGGAGCGGGCAGCGACGCGGATCTCCAGCTCATTGATTGTGCTGTTCAGCCCAAGTGCCTGAAAACAACTTCTTACCTAGACCCTCCATCTACCCTCTATTAGACCCTAAATGCCCACTACTTGGGACCATATACCCCTATTTGAGGGTACAAGGAGGGTCCTGGTAGCTTCTTCTATGACAACCACCCTCGCGACACCAGCAGGATGCGAGGCCCCGCCTTGCCGAACTCCTCGGCCTCTGCTTCGCCCACCTTAAGGACGAAATGAAGCCTAAAAGGGTTTAAGGTTCATATACCATATAGGGATTCATAGTATATGGGTACAGGGCCCCTACTTTTAAGGGTCATTTGGTCCTTCAGGCACCTCAATCTTGCGGAGGCGCAGGACCTTCAGCTTCTTGTAATCTTTCAGGGCTTTGGCCAGCCGGCCCAACTCGCCTTCCGGCAAGTTTTCCAGCTCCGCTTCTTCGCATGCGTAGACTTTCTCGTAGTAGATATCCTGCTGCAGCTTCTGCACTTCTCCGGCATCGTTCCGATGCGTGAAGGCGGCTTTCTTCATGTCTTCTTCGAAGACCTCGGGAGCCATTGGGACTTTGCCCTGGAGCTGGGTTTTGGCGTCCACTTGGGACCCCGGAGCGTCGATGCGCTGGTTCTGCTCGGACCTGCTCCTGCAAGAAGACCACTCCACCTCTGCCTTACACCACCCTCGGTCTCTATAAGGGACGCGGTTATGCTTCAGCTCTTTGAGGGCGCGGCCTCGAAGGGCCTTGCTCTCATCGTCATACATCATCACAAGATGCTTGGAGTTCCGCAGTGCGGCGTCCCAGACGTCGTCTGGGGTGAGAGCTTCCAACAGTCCAGTTGCATTCGTGGGCGTAGCACATATGCATGTGACTCATGGATCTGCGGAAGCTTTCGTTCTCCGCCTTTGTCTGCCGCTCGTATTGAAAGAGAGACACGTAATCGTAAAACACCCAGATCTCAGAAAAATAAGCAGCATCGTAGAGGCTTAGGCAGCCGACCAGGCGCTTCAGCTGGTCGCCGCAGGGATCCGGGTGCTCCCGGCTCTCCCAGGCATGGGAAACTGAGATGAGCATCGCATCTCGGGTCCCCGCCGCCCAGTCACTCACCTCCTCGTGGCTTACGAGGCCCCACTCTTCCTCGGAGTGCGGTGCGCCACGAAAGCGATGGTAACAAGATGATCTCAAATCTCACTGCCACACCACAAACCTGAGGCCCGCTCCGCTTCCTGGCGTCGGGGCAGCAACCTCTCCTGACGCAACAGCTCGTACAGGTACCTGCAGCGCCGCTCCAAAACTTGCAGACAGCAAAGCCCGTCATCAACTCTCTTCCGATACAAAAGGTCTACTTGTGAAGCACTGCTCACATGCATGTGCTCCGTGGCGGGGAAGAGGCACGTGACCCGAAGGAGGCGGATGTCGGCATACTTCAGGTACGCGGCCAACTTCTGTGGGTCTTCCAGGTTGAAATTGGCCTTGCCCCCAGACGGTCAGGATGACCCATGACACCCCCGAATCGCATGAGATGCAGCCGCTATGGCGCATATCTGAGACTTTCCGAAAGAGGGATGCCTGGAAGCCTCACCCAAAATACCGGGATCCGTATCTACGAGTACTTCGTTGCGTTGAGAGTGCTCCGAAATCATGTACCCCTCACCTCTAGAAGCCAACCTTGGATTGACGCATTATGAAAACGAGTAAGCAGTCTTCCTATTCAACGGTAAATCTTAAACGGCGGAAGCCCCACAAGAAACCCCGAACGACCTGCTTCAGAATATCCAAACAAAGCACAAGGAATGCCAGCAACCTATAAGCACTGGACCGTGTACCGATGACAAGCAAGCCTTGAATCCTATTAACTCCAGATCTGTCCTGGCACGAAACTTAAGGACTTGGGATCCGCTCATAAAGTAATTACAGGTAAAGGTCTGGCATTACAACTTCCCCGACCCTAAGCCCGCAAAAAGAAGGCACTAAGTTAACCATAGCTAACCCGAACTCCCGAATAGCCCTGATGAAGCATCGCCTCTGTGGTCAGCGTGGGTGGCTCGCACTTGCCTCAGACAGGCACTGCAAGAAACGCGCATGTCTGAACGACCTCAGAGCCGTGCCCCTGGATAGTACTGTAACATTTGGGTTGCCAGTGCTGTTGCCGTGGCTACAAGCTGTCGTTACTTTAGTCGGGAGATCCCGGTAAATTATCGCCTAATCTCATCCTTCTATCGCATGCACCTAGGTGTCTCTACTATGGCACTTGTATTTGAGGATCTTTGAGAAGCAGTTCTCACCAGGTTGTATGTCACGAACCGTCATGCAGCTGATCGTTGCATGCCTCGTACATAATCGTACCGGCCGAGTCCGCTGAACCTTCTTTAAACCATGGAATGCTGGAACCGCATGCGGAAACATGAAATTCTTGGCTCAGATCTCTTGGGGTCCATATGTACAGCAGTTTGAGGAATCCGGTCCCCGACGACAGAACAGTTAGGACATGTATCCCAAAAATCAACACTTCTGCATGAAATGCAAAAAAGACTGAGTATAATTGGCAGCGCCAATAACTATAACATTATAGTAGTAAGCCTTCAGACTTGTACCAACATGCAAGCATCCAACAGCTTCAAAGAGAGGTTTCCAGTATAGGACAACCCAGACAAGCCGCTCAAATCCATGGAGAAACCCAAAAAAACCCTATAGCAACTCGAAGGGTGCATGTGCTCATATAGTACTTAGGACTCGAAGGCTTCCAGTATAGGCGGTTTGGGGTTGAGGGTTTTGGGTTTCGAGGTTGGGGTTTCGGGTTAGGGGTTAGAGGTTTTGGGTTTAGGGCGGCGGTGCCAAAAACAGACTACATGGAGCTTTGAGAAACACCCAACTGAGGTATCGGATGGGAAACAAGCCTTTTGTGCAGAGCAGTGGCTGCCCACGTTGGTGCTGCTTGTGGACCCCATCTGTGACCTGTCTTTACCGGGCGCTGGCTCAAAACGTTTAGTAGTTTGCGGTTTTAAGATTTAGAAGCATTCGCGGGGTTTACGGTTAAGAGCTGGGAGGCGGCTACTCTGCTGGCCCTCTCTTTGCTGTAAAAGGGGAAAGCATAACGACTTCGAAAACACCGGAGATACCGATAAATTTAGGGGTCGGGTCAGCCATTTTTGTATTTGCATGAGGTCCACGTACGTGTGCGGCACCGAAATCGGATGTCCAATTCCGTGGTACAGTAGCTTCTCTTAGTATGTCAACAGGCGTAGTGTATTCTTGCACACCATGCTCCTTCCTTCCATAAAAATACCTCTTTCATTGCTACTCAAGTACGTCTGTTGCATGTTTATATACGTGCCTGCATACCGGCTTGGTATCGGAGTAGTATTCTTGACAAGCTCATATCTTCTTCCGGTGCTCACCTTCCGTTGCATGGGGCTGTCGTGGAACCACAGCTGCAATTAAACGGAACGCGTCAGAATGTTTAGCACATCCGTCTTGACTTCCACAGCTCAGGTGCGATGTAGATAGCTCTCGAGCTTCACGGTCGAGGAGGCGTTTTGCCCGCTAGAAGGCGAATCTTCTCAAACAGCTGGGCTGCCAATGGATGGAAGATAGTTGGGTCCCGGAGCCTCTGCATAACATGATCCAAATTGCTGATGGACAGCACCCTGCATGATCCGTAGACAGGAGTATACCCAACATCGCGTGCAGAAGCCATGTCAGGCATGAGGCCACTTAAAGTACTTAAACGGTGATGCGAGATTTCGCGCATCTGCAGAATTATAGATTCCTAGCCCTGCCAAAAGCCCCATTCGCCGAAGGATCTGCTTCTTCCGTCAAGTGGCGGATGTACAGCCAACTTGAAGGTGGATCAACAGCTGGATGGCCTTTGATTTGGAGTAGTTTGCCGCTCTTGCTTCAGTTGTTTCTGAATTTGGGTGGTTGTCAAAATTATGGTCCCTCTTTGGGTCCTTAATATAGTATGGCACCTAATATTCAGGGTACCCAGAAAGGGACCCTAATTTTAACAACCACCCAATCTGGAGTTTAGAGTTCGAGGCTCGTGGCTGCTGCTTTTGTTTAGAGGAGGGCGCTCGGAGTTTAGAGTCTGTTTTGAGTCCCAGGCGGTTTGGGGTGGGCATTAGGTTCAGGGCCCAGTATGTAGGTTGAGGAATCAGGCTTTAGTGTTGATGCTTCAAGGTTTAGCGGTCTAGAGTTTAGGCTTTAGGCTTCATTTCTACTCCTCTTAGAAGGCAAGCGAGAAACTCGTTTCATCGAGATCTTGCGCACAAGACGCCTAGCCTGAACAAATCCGAGAACAACATCTCGTCCCCAGGGCCGTAGAGATCGTGTATTTAACTCCTAAACCCTGTGTTCAGGGCTTTGGGTTCGGGTTTTGGCGGGGTCCTCGGAGTCAGAGAAACCCGAAGAGAACACTCTTCAAGAATTTGTACCTCCAGGCCTTTAATAAAGCTTCAGGGGTACTCCGCATCTGGAGTCGTGTGGTCTGGATAGATGCACCCGGTGTTGTAAACCTGAACTTTGCTGTCGACAGTTGCAGCTGTTGGCTGGGATCCTGGAGATCTTTTCACTCAAGGTTGACCAATTCCCACCCTTTTCGGGCTCGAATCATTGTGTGAAGTGGCTTCCCTCTGGACGTTGTCCAAATTGGGGTCCGTTTGCAGATCCTCAACAGAACACGTCTTTCTAATGATAAGGATCCTATAAGGTATGCAAACTTACAGAACTGCCCACGCAGACCCATGCCAGGCGCCTCCACTGAGGTCTTCTCCCAAGGAAGAGCGTGGTCACATTCATGCAATGGGGTTCCGAGAGGCACAATGCCAGACCCTGAAACTCAAAGATTCCTTCATTAAGGTGTGTTCCTTGCACTTTGCGGACTCTATGTAGCCTCCCACTGTGATCTCAGGAACCCTAAACCCTAAACCATCAACTCGATTCAAGGGTTGGTTAGGAGTCTCCGGTGGTGTCATTGCTGCACGCCTTCGTTGAGTGCTTCAGCTTGGGGAGCCGGTGGGTCTCGATTTCATTGGTCTTGACGCCTCTCCAGTATCCTAGGGAACTAAAGGTTAACCTCTAGGATTTTCTAGGGCCTATAATACCTCTACGATTTTATACGGATTATTGCACCCCAAAGTGGTTTAAGGTTATCTACTCTAATACTATGATGCTCTCTGTGTCGCTGTGCCGTCTCCCCTGAGAGCCGGAGAAGCTTCGCTGGGCACCTGCCTGTCTTACGAGACCCTTAACCCTAAACCGTTCCTAAACCCTCACCAAGTCCAAGCCGAGGGAAAGACCCGAACTGCTGTTCTTGTGTCCATCGGGTTCTTGCGGCTCTTTTGCCGCCATTCCAGCAGGGAGAAGTGCTTTTAACAACGGAAAATCCTGTGAGTATCAGCCAGCTTCGGAATTGGCTTAGGGTTGGGGCTTTAGGGGCTCAGGGTGTTGGGGTTAAGTGCCGACTTCCCCCTTGGAGCTTAGCTTCCCTCAAATCCGAGTGCCCAAAATCCGAACCCAAAAGCCTCAAACCTGAACTCCAAACCCCCCATTCCACTAAAATCAAGAAGCATTCAATGCCGAAGCCACAAAACCCTTAGCCCCCTAAACCCCCAACCGCCTTAACCCAAAGGCCGCCACATAACATACAAAAACCCCAACCCTTGAACCCTGCATGCAAATGAGGTCTTGGGGGTGGCAGGGCCGTCGCATCACGCGTAATGCACAAAGTGAATCACGAAGTATAGGTTGCTGTGAAGAGTCGGTGTGTCGACGGTTTAGGATTTAGGGCTGCATCATCACTGTTCCTGGATTTCTCTGCCGTAGAGAAGGCGTATCATTCACCAAGCTATGGATACTGTAGGGGCTTCAATAATTTCAACAGGGGTTGGGGGGTATACTATAACACTACAGTCATAATAAGGATCTCCCATTATAGTATAGGTAATTCCCGAATGTAGATCCCTTATAGACCGCTTTAAAGAGCCTTTAAAGGTACCCTATTCTAATGGCTTAAAGCCTCTATATTACGCTGTCCGCTTCTGCCTTTTCGATGTCGCTCATAGCTCCGTGGCTCTGCGCCGTGACTTGATGTCTGGAACTCCACGATATCAGGAAGCCTACTGCAGGGGTTTAGGGTATAGGCGGTATAGGGTTTGGGATACCCAAAAGCCTAAAGCTCTTAACCTCCAAAACCCTATTAACCCTAAAATCCTAAACCCTTTATATACATCCTAAACCTCCAACCTACTTTTTGGGTATCATGGGGAACTAAAGGTTAACCTTTTTGGGTATATAGTAATATTACAAGGACTATACTACTCAAAAAAGGTTAAAGGTTACCTACTCTGCTGCTGTACTAGGCCAAACCCCTAAGGCCCACTCTTCTGTGGCCGCCCCTCACCGTCGGTTGGGGGCCCGGGGCTCACGGATTCGGAAGAGTTCCGGCTGGAGCTTCTGGACCTTCGTAGCGCATGCTTTTAGGGCTTCGGGTTTAGGGTTTAGGGACTTGGGGCTTTTAGGGCTTTTAGGGTTTGGGGTTTATAGGGTCTAGGGGTTTAGGGATTTGGGGTTTGTTGCTTCTTAGTCTTCGGGCTCTCTCGGGCATAAGGGCTTCGAGTTCAGGGTTTAGAGGTGCTGGGGCTCTAGCCGTAGAGCTTGAGAGTTCAGATTGTAGGGTTTAGGTGCTAGGGCTCTGTAGGTCTTAAGGGTTTGGGGCTTGGGGATTGAGTGTAACAATATGGGTTTCGTTTAGGAAATGTGCAAGGTCATGGCATCTATGGCTTCTTAGGGCGTAGGGCTGTAGGTTCAGCTTTGAATAAAGTACTCAGGATGCACATGTGACTGGAACCGTCCAGATATGACTGTTGCCTGCTGTCCTTGTTGGCGCAAAAGCTCCCGTATATAGGTATACATACCCTTAGGCTAAGGGGTAAGTTTATGACTGAGTTTTGTGTCCGAGGCTGAGTTGCGCGGCATAGTCAAGCTAGGATGCTCGTTCATAAGGACCCCCTTCGCAATACCCACCCTTCATGTCAGCGCATGTTCCAGCCCTAGTGGTCCGAAAACACCGTTCAAACAAACGCCACGCCAAGGATCAAAGAGTTCCAAAGCTCACAGTACTCATGTAGCGGGTTTCGTATTTTGGGGAATATATGAAGTGAGCTTTCTGTCAGTTTGTCACTTCGTTACATGCACATGGGACACTCGCGCCGAGCCCCGCATTCCCTTGGGGTCGGTACGCCAGAAAGACCGTCGCTGCTCCACGCGGCCTCCATCTTCACCAAGTCCTCCGTCCGTGGGTTTGCCCCAACCGCAAACCGAACGCTAAACCCTAAACCCTAAACTTGCCCTAAACCCCAAACCCTAAACCCTGAACCCTAAACCCTGAACCCCTAAACCTCTAAGCCCTAAACCCCGAAACCCAGCCACCAGGAACCGTGCACCCATGAAGTGCCAGAACTGCCAATCGCCGAACCGATCCGTCGAACTGAACCTCGGTTCACAACCCACGTCTCCTTAATGAAGGGGCCTTGACACATTAAGAAAGGGCTTTGGGCTGCTTCACATAGTATACATCCACGAAGGAACCCTAAGGAATGATATTGGTGCTTGTTTTCTTTCGGCTTCTATATTGACTCTGACTTCTGTCCCAGAGTGCCCCTCCTCAACCCCTGCCGAGCCCGCAAAGGAAGCCGCCCTGAACCGTCAAGCAGGAAACGATTAACGACCCAGCACAGAAATCACAACAAGCCTTAGCGAAAGGCGGCTACTACTGTGTTTTGGGGATAGGAAGCCCTCCCTAAACTCTGAACCCCTAAACCAAAAACCCTGTGTCAGCGCTTAGATGTCCAAGGCTCGATCTCTGGAGATCTAGTGTCTTTGGTTTGAAGTCATCTTGAGAAGGACTTCGGGGTTTTACACGAACATAGGTTACTGTTGCGATTATCATTTTTACAGTCGTATTTCCATATTTATCATTTAGGCTTTAGGGTGTGTGGATGCTTGGGATCGCCGGCCTAAGTTTGACTGTTGAGGCGTTTCCGATGAAAGGTTTCGCGCAACATGAGGAACAGTTGCCGACAGTGCGGTGATAAGCACCCCTGTACCCTCCTCCTAACCCAGGATTGCTGCTTCGGGCGCGCGCGTAGAATTTCAAAACCTCAACTTCCTGCCCTACGCCCCAAGCCCTGAGACCAAAAAGCTCAAACCCGACACGGGGATATTCACATACATTCATATTTATTACATATAGGGACTATGCAAAACTACAAATACCAGATATGCCGGCCCAGGCATTCGAACCCTCAACCCCAAACCCTGAAACTCAAGCCCTGCAGTCCCAAAACAGCCCCAACCCCTACGAACTCCACCCTGCCTGCTCCGATGTGTCGCGGATGTTGCGCAAGGGGCCCTGGATGACCAAAGAGCCTCGCCACTGCAGGGTGGGGGTTCAGGCTTCAAGGTTTAGGGCATTGAAGTCGAGAGTGTACGGGCTTTGTGGGCTTAGGACTTGTAGAACCGCCGGGTGACCTGAAGACCTCTAAACTTCAGTAAAGGCTCCAGTACTCCTCACAGAGCCCAAAGGCCAGAAGCCTCAACCCTCCTTTTAAGCAACCCTTCAGCCCGAAGCCCCTGGAAGTCTGCATCCTAAGTCAACAACCCTTCAATTTTAAACACCGAGCCCTTAAAGCGTAAGTCCGTGAAGCTCTCTGGAAAATCTGTGAACCCGTGATATAACTTTGTAAACCCTTTCAAAACGTCGAAACCTGTTAAAGCCTGAACCACAAAAATTACTAGGATGCCGGCCGCAGGGAAGTCGAGCACGGTATTTCGTCCGCCCTCCAATCGTCTCCTGTTTTCGTGTCTGCTGGAAAGCCAAAGTTTACACGGTGTTGATTTCAACAGTCCCCGATGTTTTTGTTTGACAAATGGGGCTCTCTATTAAACAGTACGGGATTTTAAAAACTATCCCAAATCGATACCTAGTTTATGGTGTGGAGCTTTGGTTGAGGGCTTGGTTTGGGGAAGGCCTTTAGGGGTCCGATACTGCCCAATAAGGGCAACATGGTTAGTCGACGTTTTAGCTTAGGGTATGCCTCCTCTGGTTGAGGCTTAAGGCTTGTTCGCTCTATGTCGGTCAAGGATCTTGAAACGGTGCATAAGATGAGGTCCTTACCTTCACAAACTCGTCCATGCGAGATGGACCTTGAAGCCCATTGGTATGTGTGGCTCGGTCTAGGCATCAATGATCGTTGAGTTTATGAGCAGCCACCCAAGAGCAACTTAGCTTAGCCATTCTTGTAACCCTCATAACTACAGTACCCACCATAATAGCCTTTACTCTCTTCTTCAACAACTGGGCCCCAAAAAGTTCAAACCTTCTAAGCTAGAGCAAATATATAAGGCCACAAAGTTTAAAGATTTCCCGTTCACTATCTAAGTTTATAGCAACCCTTCCAATCTACTTGGACCCCTGACTTGATTTCCGTTTGTTTGGCTAGTTGGAGCCGGATCAAGCTTTCGGCAGCCTCTTGCTTACCGCGTGTCTGTTCTTCGGCGCTTATGAGGAAACCCTACAACCCCTGTATTTCATACCCCATCCCTAAATCTTAGACCCTAACTGACTCCCACCATTGACAACAATAAACGAAATTCAAGTATTTCTTACCAGCCTCGTGAATGCGGGCATCACCACCGCCTGCAGCCGCTCCGTCACCTCCGGACCCTCCTCCGGCTCCTTCAAGGCTTTGGGTTTAGCCTTCAAGGTTCGGAAATTGGGGCCTGAGGTTTAGTTTCGGGGCTTGGGGCTAAGTTTTGCAAGAGGGTATCTTGCAGATTTCGGAGCAGGGTGTAAGGGCTCAATTCGCAGGGATTCAGGGTTTCGGGTTGAGGGACGCGCTGTTCCAGTATGGGGTTGCAGGGATGTGCGTTGCTGGTTCGAGCTTGGGGCGTCTCGGCCTATAGGTTTCGACTCTGGGGTCACAATTATTCGGGTTCTGTGGACTTATCGGAGAACTGCGCTTTGATATTGCAAAGACTATAACTCTACAACTATACCACTATACACAACTCTAATACGATACTACTATAATACGAGACTGCGATAATCTAAGATACGGCGATGCTACTATGCTACTATACTACTATACGACTTTACTACTTATACTACTGACACTACCATACTACTACTACTACTACTACTACTACTACTACTACTACTACTACTACTACTACTACTACTACTACTACTACTACTACTACTACTACTACTACTACTACTACTACTACTACTACTACTACTACTACTACTACTACTACTACTACTACTACTACTACTACTACTACTACTACTACTACTACTACTACTACTACTACTACTACTACTACTACTACTACTACTACTACTACTACTACTACTACTACTACTACTACTACTACTACTACTACTACTACTACTACTACTACTACTACTACTACTACTAGTACTACTACTACTACTACTACTACTACTACTACTACTACTACTACTACTACTACTACTACTACTACTACTACTACTACTACTACTAAACTACTACTCCTACTATTACTACTACTACTACTACTACTGCTACTACTACTACTACTACTACTACTACTACTACTACTACTACTACTACTACTACTACTACTACCGCCACTGTACTGCTACTGCTACTACTACTACTACTACTACTACTACTACTACTACTACTACTACTACTACTACTACTACTACTACTACTACGACTACGACTACTACTACTACGACGACTACGAATACGACGACGATTACCACGACGACTACGACGACTACGACTACCACGACGACGACGACTACTACTTACTACGACGACTACTACGACGACGACTACAACGACGACGACTGCAACTACTACGAACGACGAAAATGGCTACGTACTGCGACTGCTGCTGGTACCGTTACTGCTACTGCCATTACTATTGCTACTCAAATTGCTATGATTATGATTATGACTATGCTTTATAGTATAGCCAGTACAGACCACTTCACCTCTCATCATAAAATTAATATCGACTAGCTTGCTTCTGCTACATATGTTCTATTCCCTCTCATCCATTCTTATAACTATATGTATATGCACATTCTGAAGCTGACAATGCACAAATCTGAGCTCGTGAACAACGCAGTAGCCACACTCATCTGCACTCTAAATCCAATCTCAAGCTCTTGTGTGATTATGTCCCTGTCAATTCCCTTCTGGGGCGCAATAATTAAAAGCATCCTGAGACAAGAAAGCCCAAGTCCTGGCGAACGATCCCGTGCCCTCGGAGGATCTGGCGACAGGCGCGAACAGGAACTCGCACAAGAGTTCAAGTTTCAATCAAACGGGTGTGTAGTCTGTCGGGTTTAGAGCTGTGGCCCTTCTGTTGGGAATCATTGCCGGGTTTAGTGCTAGGTAACAGGTAGAGACCTCAGAGGGGATTGCCCTTTGTATCGTCCACTCTTCCAGCCGCTCGAAAGTACCAAAGTTTTCCGCAGCCCCAAGTGTCAAGATGCCAAGAGACCCATTTATAGACCGCAAACCCAAACGACCGGAATCCCATAAGAAATCAGTCCCAAACATGGCTGTCTTTTGAGGCCCTAGGAAAAGCCCTAAGCCTATACCCATAAGCCCCTCAACAGGACTCCGTCCAAGAAGCTAAAGCACAACTCCCAATCCGAAGCCGCAACCTCTAAGCCCAAACGCTATTAAAGGAAACCTGAAGCCGGGGGCGGCGAGCGCTTTCGTGGTGGTGATGGAGTGCGACGGCCTCGCCAGTTCTACGGGGTTTGTCTCATACGGACATTTTCGCAGCAGTGCTGTGAGGGTTTGGGTTTCGCAGGGTGCTTGAAATGGTTTTGTCTTGGGATTCACAAGGACTTATGTTGGCGTGAAACGAAATATGGTGTGCGCAAGCCCTGAAAACCACCAAACCCTAAACCCTAAACGGGCTCTAACAACAAGCCTGGATCTTCCGAATCGTAGCCGCGACCCCAAACCCTGACCCTAATTAACTCCAACAAAACAACCTTTCCCCCTCAGCCCGAGACACTTCTTTCGAAACATCTCCCTAAACCCTATACACAAACCCTAAAACCCTCAACCCTAGACCCTCAAGCCCTTAAGCCCCACACATCCAAGCCAAAAATAAGCCCTCAAAGCCAAAAACCCTAACCACTAAACCCTAAACCCTAAGCCCTAAATTCGAAGAACCTTTGGCAGTTGCCCTCTATAAAACCCTACACCCTAAAATCCTTCGGATCGCTTCCGGGCCCAACTGAGCTCCTCGCGAGGGGAAGGCGTCCTGGAGAACTTCGAAAGTGCCAGGGGCCAGGGTTTTCAGGTTGTGGGTTCAGGAGCAGGTGGGTTAGGGTATTTGGGGGTTTAAGGTTTAGAGGTAGGGGTTTACAGTTTAGGCGGAGTAGGGTGTCTAGGGTTTTAAGGTTGAGGGTTAAGGATTTATGGGTCAGGGTTTCAGGCTTGCGACCTTAGGGTTTAGGTTTCAGGGCCTTGGGTTAGGGTTTCATAGGGATTTGGGTTTCATACATAGTGGTTTCGAGTTTCCTAGTAGTTTAGGGTATCACAGGGATTCAGGGTTACATGGGGTGCTGGGTTTCAGTGTGGCTTGGCGGTTCGTGGGGGTTTGAGGTTTCGTGAGGGTTTGGGGTTTCATATAGTAGAAGCCTAAAAGTTGGAAACCCCATAGCCTCAATCCTTAAGAGTAATGTAAAGGGAATCCCAGCACTATTTGGCCTTGATCCGGTTTCCAAGTTTATGGGGTTTACTGTAGAGGTTCGGTGCTTCATAGGGGCTTGGGGTTTGGGAAGGTTGTCGGACTAAAGGATGGCGGATGCCACCGGCTCCTTGGGTGGTTGCATACAGGACTTGAATATAGGATTCTGTTGGGTTTAGGGTTTAGGGTTTAGGGTTGGTTGCGTAGGACTTGAATATGGAATTCTGTTGGGCTTTATACTGATGGCTTGGTCAAGGCTTCTATAAGGATTTGGCAGAACTTGGAACTTACGGATCCTACTTCTTCAGTTCTGGAATACGAGCAAGAATAAGCCCTGTAGGATCCCCTTTTACTAATCAGCCTAAAAATGTCCCTATTTATACTAGGCCACTAAGTTCCACAAGGCGACGTCGGCGAGTGATGGTGGGATTGGAGGGTGGGGAAGCCCGTACACCCGCGCCTCCAGCGCGTGGGGCGGATAAGGACTGACACACCATACACTAAACCCTAAACCCCCAAACCCTATTGATAAAGCCTGAAGAAATTCCCCAATGGCATCATCCTTGGTTAGGAGGCAGTGAGATCTCTGGAGTGTAGAGTTGCTGGTTTCAGGGTTCAGGGGGAGATCGTCCTCACGGTCAGGGTGTCTTCGCAAGATCTGCAGTGCAAAAGATGCTATAGTTAGCTCAAAGATCTGTAACACCGCCGGAAGGGAAACTTCTGGGAACAGTGCACCGCACGAACCATACCCGATTGACGGAGGCAGCCCTGATTCTCATCAGAAACTCCTAACTACTGACGTCCGCCTGCGTGCGCGCGAGTCACGGCCGCGTGGTGGAGGTGACCTGCGCAAGCTAATAGAGTTCCGAGAAACTAGTTGCAGTCGCCTTAACGGTTCTTGGCTGTAGTTTCAGGTGGTTACGGTGTCGGGTTGGTCTGGGGTTTAAAGAACAACATACAGATCCCCACGACTCCAAGATTGAAGAAGAACGCCACCTTCATCAACATACCTACATGGGCATTAGCCGGCACTGATCACTGCAGATCGTTGTTGAATCGTAGCAAAGACCGCCATGAACCCAAAGACGGGAAGCTTTGTCAAGCCTGCAAACTGCTGCTAATTGCGACTCCTGTACAGGAGTTCATAACCGTCTCTACTGCTCCCAAAGATCTCACATTTCAAGCTGCTGCACTTATCTACGTTCTTAACTGGTCATGGTCATAGATACTGTTGAGCACGGCACATGCTGTCATTAAACAACCCAGCGATCTCCCTCTCTCTCTATGGATATAAATATAAATATATATATATATATATACACATATCTATATATAAATATATGTATATATGTATGTATGCATATGCATACAGATATAGAGGCCTTGGGCTGCTGGGTCAGGGTCAAAGTACATAATATAGTATAATATGGATACAAAGACCCTTGGAGGACCAGTGTAGTACTGATCCGAATCAGCCTGTCTCTTCGACTCTCTGTCTCCATTGTTCTGTCTGTCTCTCTCCCTCTCGCTCTCTATCTGTGCCTCTCTGCTTCTGTGTCCCAACACCAGCACGCTCAGCTGTTGACGGTCTGTCACGCTGGGTCTAGATTTGGAGTATGTGGGCACGGACTCAAGCACGCCGAAGGAGGTTCCATTTCGGAATGCCAACTTACCATGTGACTATGTCCTGTGCGGATGCAGTCTTACATTGCGTTGCCTCACTATCCCCCAACTGACCACAGCACACTAGCAGGCTGCAAAGACGTGCCTGAGTCAGAATCTGGAGATACACATCCGCACAAGACAAAGAACACGAGTTCAAGTAGTCCTGGGAAAGTTATTCACATGCACATGGGCCATGGCCACATACGCCATCTCCACCAAATGTGGCCAACGACCGAGTAGCTGCGGGGGAACAAGAAAGAACGAAGCAGTAGTTCCGATCATCCGCATACAAGGAAGTCTTGAGGTAAAAGCTCAAAATGCCTGGGCCAGAAAAAAACATGAGCTTATTGCAAGGCATATACGCTCGAAATTACTAGCCCTTGAACAGACATGCAGGTCCATGTCAATGTCAAAGACCCCCAAGTTTCAGCCTTTTCATTTGCCTGCCCTGCCCACTGCCCAAACTTCAGACTTAAATTCAGGATATCCTTGCTCGGAGCTGCCGTTCGACCGGTTTCGTATACATGTCATCTGAATATGAAGAAAAAGCAAACGTAATCCTAGGTCAAGCTCCGCGGGTTCTAGAATCAGCTCCTTTCGTCAAGGATTGAGTGCACTCTCGTATGCAGGCTTTCGCTGAACTTTAGCCTACTTGTCGGGTATCATGGGGAACTAAAGGTTAACCTTCTCGGTTATATAGGGATTATATAGGGGCTATACTACCCAAAACATGTTAAAGGTTACCTACTCTACTACTAGGTTAGATAGTCTAAGGTTAGCTAGCTTTCTTGCAAGTGGTGCTTCCGATATCAGCTGCTTAACGACACAAACCATTACTTATCATTGCTTGGAGGATCAAGGCAGCCAGCAACACAGTGTTGTAGAGCTTCTGCTTGAATCACATCCAAACTGAAGGTCACAGTTTGCATATCACTGGTTCAAAAATTTAAGGAGCTTGGGGTACATGAGAGTTCCAAAAAATGGGGGCTGGGGGATCCTTCTATTTAGGGTGCAACATTAGATTAGGGTCCCCTATTGTCGGAAACCTTCACGACATGTCGCCGAAAGCATCAAGCATCTCTGTCCACACAAAGGATGCCCCAACCCCATGTAATAGCTCTAACCCTAAACCGTGAACCCTAAACCCTAACCTACCCCAAAATTCCCTACAGTAGCTCTAGACCCTTAACCTAAAACCCTACAGCCCGGCCTTACCCCGAAAAACCCCGAGCCTGCGGCGAGGTGGGGAGCGACCACGGGGTAGCGGAGAGCGGGAGCGGCTCCTTGTGCCGGGTTGTGGGATTTCCCTACTTGAAGGCTCATGAGACTTAGTAAGTAAGGTTATAAGTCGGATATAATTAGGATAACCCAACTTAGGGGACTTATAACCCCGATTCTAACCTAATTAATTACTAAGTCCCATGATCCTCCAAGCAGGGCTCCAGCTACCTAAATAACGGGTTACTGGGCCATTCTGTATGGTTAGAAATTTAGTTAGGTAACTGGAGCCTGGGGTTTAAGGTTGTGTAGGGGTTACGTGCAGGGCTTAGACTGTGTGGGGATGATAGTTCAAGTTTGGTTGTTTTGTTGTGGCTTGTTAGCATTCGGGGACATAAGGCTCAAAGCTTAACTATCGAATTGAGGAATTTGGTGAATGCTCACTGGATTTGGTGACGTCGTTAATAATGTTGTTTTAATCCACAAAGCACGTTTAAGGCTAAGGACCATGGACTATATGTCTTGCGGCTACATGGAATTTCGCGTTTAAAGTTCATAGCACGGTCGGATGATGCAGATCTCGGCGCATTCTTAACCCTTGCCCCAACCCATACAGTAGAAGCCAGAAAGTTGGAACATCATTATCCTCATGCCCTTAAGGTAAAGCATAGGAAATCTCGGCACAGATCGTCCTAAATCCATGTTCCAACTTTCTGGGGTTCACTATAAACCCTACGCCCTACACCCCCCGAAAGCATCATGGCCTTCGGCCTCAGCCTCAACTAAGCTTCCCAGCACACATCATCCTACACTAAACCCTAAACTTCCCGAACCCTACCCGCCAAGGCTGTAACGGACTAAATCCTAAGATTCCCAAGCCATCCTAGACCCTTGCCACGGTTTCGGTTCAGGATTGTGCATTATAACACCGCAAAAGCAGGGGTAAAGTACGAGTTTGGACTTCCAAAACCCGCTCTGCTAGCAAGGCTAATTGAATCTTGGGACTGCATAACATATATATATATATATATATATATATATATATGGTATATATGTACATACATTCATAATTTCATATGTACACACATATTGTTCTACATCAACTATATACATCTACTACGAGCTACATCGCGTCTGTCGTGAACCCTGGACGAATTGCATTACCACTCCCAGGCCTACGCCGAGGAGGTGAGCGCCTTTCTGTAGGGCGCAGTTGTCTTGTTTTTTCTTGCTTAACGACATCATGAACTATACAACGAGCCAAACAGCAGCATTAGTATTAGTATTGTCGCCATCGTCGTACGTAGTGGAAGTCGTTGTTGCGCATCTCATCCTTCGTATCAACAAACGGTTCGAGTGTAGTAGTCAGAAAACTAACGCACTTTCCTCGCGGTTGTTGCTCTTCCTGTTGCCTTGGCTCTCAGACACGTTGAATGCTGCTACTGTCACTCATGCTCGTATTGCCGACACCACCAGTCTAGGGGTCTTGCATAATCACGGGAGCTGCGCGACACCCCAAGGGGCCACTGTCTGTTACATGCTCGAAACATGAACAGGACCCATGGAAAAGCTATCCCCCATTTAGTCTAGAGATGCCCCACAGAAGAGTTCAATCCATTCCTTTCTGGGGCAAGGCAAGGACAGGTCCGACAGAAACTCCTTGCACAGGACAGTTCTCCCCCAAAAACTACACCCCAGCACCCATGACTTAAGCCATTAACCTCTATGTGCCAAACCATCTATAGCTGGGATCCTTGTGTTTATGTGCCTGAGACATGGGACATGGCCCCGAGAATATCTGGAACTTGCTGACTTCCGAAGGTTAGGGTTTAAAGAATTTAGGTTTAGGGGCTTAGGGTTCAAGGGTTTAGGGTTTAGGATTCAAGGGTCAGAATTTCAAGCCCGGGGTGCGAGGACGAGGGCAAATGTTTTACTTTCTTGAGGTCTCATCTGCAGCTGCAAGTCCTAGTTAAGCAGGTGTCTTTTGAGTAAGGCCGCTGCAGCTATAACCAGGTTACGGACTCAAAACCCAACTTTAAACTGCTCATGACCCTCCCCCACAAGTATAGGCTTTCAGGATCACGGACTTCATGGATCCTCAACCCCGACAAGAGATACCAAAAGCTGGCTAGAAGGATCGGTAGAGAGAGAGAGAGAGAGAGAGACAGAGAGAGAGAGAGAGAGAGAGATAGATTAGATATATACGGCTGGATAGATATAGGCAGCAGATAGATAGATAGATAGATAGATGGAAAGATGCATGGTTGTCGGTTGGGCTTATAGGATTCGTCACACCCGTGCAGCGCCTTTGGGAAACCCTGAGCATAGCCCCTAGATTTCAGGAGTCTGACTATTTGGGGTTGAGGGTTTAGGGGTCAAGGGCTTAGGGTTCAAAAGTTAGGGGTTTAGGGCTTTAAGGGTTTAGTGTTTAAGGGTATAGGGTTAGGGTCTAAGGGTTTAGGGGTTAGGGTTTAGGGTTTTAGGTGAAAGCGCCGAGGCCCAAAGCTCAAGATTCCAGTTGGCTTGCAACTGCAAACTCCAAAGCCCCAACCCCGAAACCCAACAAACCCTATAAACTCTGCAAGCCATGCGTGTGCGTGTGTGTGTATATATATATATATATATAGGTAGGTAAGAAGACTACACACAAACATCAATTCATCCTCTAAGCCCCTAATACTCCATAACTCTAAACATCAAAACTATCCTATCAACCCTACAGCCTGGGTGGTCTCAGGGATATAAGCCCTAAGTACAGTCCTATACCTATACCTGCAACCAGGCCCACCGACCTCCAGGGATTAAGGTTTACGATAGGGTATGTTGTGTTTTAGGGTTTAGGGTTTAGGGTCTTAAGATTTTGTGGTAGGCAGCAAGATTTCTTCATAGTGCGTACATGACCGTATACTTCATAGCAATGCTATGTTCTTTCTACGTTCCTATGAAAGTATACCACACAGAATGCACCTAATCATGCAGGCCCTGATATTACCCATGGAGCCTTCTTCCAGCATCTCTCGCACGGCTGTCTCGCCTTCAAAGAACCACGTGTCACGAAGGCTGGATTCTGGGTTCAGGAAGGCTGGGAGAGGAGGTCATTCTTTTTGCGCAGGGTTGACAGTGTTATCCGAAAGCTGATAGGGCGCTAAAGAGGTTTCGTAGGGGCTCAGCGTTCGGCGTTTAAAAGTTAGGAATATATATGTGTTGGGACGTATGACATTTGGTTGGGTGAGGGTCGCTTTCACTTTCTGACCTTGCTGGCCTTGACTCACTCCGTTCGTTAACCCTAAACTGGCCCGAAACCAAACCCAAGCCAAGATCTACACGTACTCATGACGTACTCACTCCATTACACTATCCTACTCGGGGCTCCAGGTACTCGGGCACTGGGCTGCATGATCCGAACAAAAAGCGATTTTGCGGCGTTGTGTCACAAGGCCCAAACCCCTCAACCCTGAACCCCTTTCTCCATGTCCCAACCCAGTACCAGCCCCCAAATCCAACTACTATTCTAACCCGAAACGCTAAAACCCTCAAACCCCAAAACCCAAAAACTCCTAAGCCCCAGGCCCTGATAAACATCTCTGCCCTACTTGAAGGCTCGTGGGACTTAGTGTAAGTAAGGTTATAAGTAGGTTATAATTAGAGTAGCCCCAGTTAGGGGGCTTATAACCCCAACTATAACCTGCTTACTAAGTCCCATGATCCTCTAAGTAACCTAAACTACCCCTTGTAGAACCCTTATCTTATAGATCCCTAAACCCTAAACCCTTTAAGGAGCCCTTTAAGGAACCCTAAGTCCCATGATCCTCTAAGTATCTGCTAGCAGGCCAGCCTGCGGGAGCGGGAGCGCGAAGGCTGAAAGATCGGCATGGCCCGGGTCCTCGAAGAGGGTTTCAGGGTTTAGGGGCTAAGGGTTTAGGGATTAAGGCTTAAGGGTTTAGGGCTTAAGGGCTTCGGGCTTTAAAGGCTTAGGGCTTTAACGGTTTAGTGTTTGATGGTATAGGGTTTAGGGTTTAAGGGTACGGGTTTAAGGGTTGAGGGTTTGGGGTTTAAGGGTTAAGGGTTTAGGGGCTAAGGGTGTAGGGTTTAAGGGTTAAGGGTTTAAGGGTTTAGGGCTTTAAGGGTTTAGGGCTTTAAGGGTTTAGGGCTCTAAGGGTTTAGTGTTTATGGGTATAGGGTTTAGGGTTTAAGGGTTAAGGGGTTAGGGTTTAAGGGTTAAGGATTTAAGGGTTAAGGGTCTAGGGCTTTAGGGTTTAAGGGTTAAGGCTTTAGGGCTTAGGGTTTAAGGGTCCTAGAAGGCTGAGCTTAAGGGTAGTGCTGCCAGGGGCTCAGTAGATTTTGCTTTCAATGTCCAGTCGAGCTTGGCCACGGAACCCAATGATATGTTGCTTGAAGGTTCCGCTTAAAGGTTTAAGGGTTTACGGTTGAAGGGTTTACGGGTTGAGGGTATTAAAGGTTCAAGGGTTTAGGTTTCAGGGCTTAGGGCTTTCGGCTTAGGGGTTTGGGGTTTCAGGTTTTTCGGGTTTTGGGGGTTTAGGCTTCAGGGTCAGGGTCCGATTTGTTCCGGTTCGGGTTTAGGGAAAGGTTTAGGGTAGGGTTCAGGGTTTAGTGTTTAGGGTAGGGTTTAGGGTTTAGGGTTCAGGGTTTAGGGTAGGGTTTAGGGTTTAGGGAGAACGGTTCTAGAGGACCTCTTCGATGGGTCCATGGACCCTTAAGGTAAAGCAGCTGAACCCTGCACCCCCTGAACGGAACCCGAAGGTGACCAGTGCTCTCCACCGGTGGCTCGATGGACACTGAGGAGCAACAAGACAATTGTTGCAAGATGCACAGGTGTTGATAGGAACGAACTGTAGAGGCAGGAGAATGTCATGGTGATATCTATATTCCCCTATAGCAAACAGTACTTCAGACACCTATCCTAACCATCGAAGGCCCTCACATCAGACCTGAAACTACCCAAAGAAAAGGCCCCTTACGCAACCCGACACTGATTCTTTGAGGTTCGGCTCAAGGGGTTCAGGGCTTATGGATGGGGGACCCAAGGTTCCTCCACTACCCTTTGGGTTTAGGGTTTAGGGTCTAGGGTTTAGGGTTTAGGGTTTAGGGTTTAGGGTTTAGGGTTTAGGGGTTTAGGGTTTAGGGGTTTAGGGTTTAGGGTTTAGGGTTCAGCAGCTCTGGCTTTGAAAATTTCTTGTTAAGCTATTTCCAGTCAAGCTATCTTCAAGAAGAAACCCCACCCGCCCAGAGAATCCCCTCACATCAGAATTAACAGTTTTATTTCTTTTGGCTAGAATTATTAAATACTAACTTATATACGGCTTAAAGAATCTATCATATTTTCAACCGTTCGCGAAAATCAACACACTAGTGACTTCACCATCGACGTTATTGCCTGGTAGGACCTGGTGCTGTTTCTTTACAGTCATTCTCGCCACACGCTTCACTTTAAGAAATTATTTCTGCCGACCAGCTTTCTAAGAGAGCTAGTTAAGAAACACAACATCGCCCTAA